TGTTTCTGTCCAGTGAAGTGATGTAATTGCGATTGGGCATGTTCTTTGGGCATGTTCTTTGCTCATGTCCATGGAGCTGTGCCCCCTATCTATTGTAATTGGTCATTGCTAAGCATGTCTATGGCTAATGCCCCTTCCAGACCTTATCAGTTGCAAGCAGACATGACTAAGCACTTCAACAGCTGCTGTTCCTTATGGCCAGCAACTTAGTGGGTCCCATCATGTCCCAGAATATCTATGGCAGCTGCTTATTACACTTCGGCTGGTCTGAAGTTTGCAATCCTTCTGCCTCAGCCTCCCATGTCGCTGGAATGACAGGCCTGCGCCACTGTACCTGCCTGGCTATGCTTCTCAAGGCTGTGTGTGTGTGTGTGTGTGTGTGTGTGTGTGTGTGTGTGTGTTAAATCCCAAAGCACATGTTCTTCATAATTGATTCTACTACTTTCTTGCTTTATCTGGTTATTCCTCATAAGACTTGGTTTTTCCACTTATAATATGGGAAGAATATATGGGCCTTTTCCTGTTGCAAATAATCAGCTGTTTCATAGCAGGCAGCAGAATCAAAAAATGCCATTACCCTGTTAATCAGGGTGTGAATACCAGTTTCTCTTTCTATCCTTTTGTTTACCATCTGACCTTATCTCCCTCCCTTTAGGATGGACCTCTGTCCCATCTACCCCATCTCTATTCTAGGTGAAGAGATTTTGAAGAAAAAGGACTGTCCCCAAAAGAGGGAATGTTTTGGCCTTATACGTTGAGTAACTTCAAGAGAATTGCATTTTTCCCTTAATTTCCCACATCTATAAAACCAAGCCAAAGTTGGAAAGACAAGATCCTTAGGTGGATTTGTACATTACAGACAGCAAAATAATACAGATGACATAAGATCTTGGGTTCCTGGAAAATGGGAATTAGAGCCACATATAAAGAATTTACAGGCTCTAATTTGTTTTGGTATAAAAATACAATATATAGTTTAAATATTACAAATAGATTCTGCTCCAACTGTAGTTCTTTCCTAGAAAACCACCATGTCCTTCCCAGGATCTGAGACTAGTTTGGGCTGTGTAAGTAGTATTTGATTCTCTGGGCTCAACAGAACAAAGTTCAGTACTTTGGTGAATGGTGTCAGAAACCATGTGGGCAGCAATTCATGGGATAGCATCTAGAGGGCACCTTTGTGGGGTAGGCTTGCAAATGGTAGAAAAGTGCTTTACCACTGAGCTACCACAACCTCCTGAAGTTTCTCCCCTCCCACTGTACTGGGGATTGAATCCTGAATCCAGGATTCTGAGCTTCATCCCCAACTCATCTGCCTGCATGTTTGTTTAATTTTGAGATAGGGGTCTCACTAACTTTTCAAGACTGTCCTCAAACTAAGCAGCTGCCATAGATATTCTGGGACATGATGGGACTCACTAAGAGTCCCCAAGGCTGCTAAGTAGCTAGAATTACAAGTGTGCACCCTCACATCCAGCCTGAAGTTTCTTTTGGTAAGTGAAATTTTACTGTATAATATCAACCAAAAACTTGTTGAAATTTTGTTCCAGATTTAATGGAAATAATCTTTGTGACTGTTTTATATTCAAAATGTTCAATTTTTTTTTAATTTTGGACTTCACTATTCTATATCTTCTAAATCAAGTATATTAACTGTTTTTCTGGTTTTCTGTATTCCAAGCATATTATTGTTTGCTGAGGGCCATTGCCAAGTAGGAATGACGCATCGATATTTCCTTGCCAGCGTACCCCATGTTAAATGGACTTGCCTTGGAAATTTGCTGTGACCTTGCATGTGTGTTAGAGAAAGATGACCCTGCTCAAGGTGATCGAGGGTGGATCCAGGTTTGAGGAAGTATCCTGCAGGTTTGAGGAAGTATCCCAGTCCTTGGGTTTAGCGTTCCCGGTTTAAGGCGTTCCCGG